AAACCATGGCGTTCAAAATGATTTCTACTCTTCTACACCACCTCCTTTAGCGGCCATGAGCCCTTCAGCTGGTATACCCGGTATGCCGAATCAGTACTTTCAGACGCCCATGACATTCGCTTCTGATGCCCGCAGCATATCATCTTCCTCCTTCAACGGGAGCGCAAGACACAGCTCTGTATCATCATTTTCTACTGAAACCATCACAGACTCTACGAGGCAAGCTATGATGTTCAACTTGACTCAAGCTATGGGGTACGGTCACGGAGCTCAACGGAGATTCTCCCAACCCGCCATCAGCTCGCCCCTGTCTAACGGTACTACAAAGCCTTCAACACAGGCCGGTATACTCCCAAGTACTGTCGACATTCAGCGCTATGTCAATGCGTACATTCATTATTTCCACCCCCACTTGCCCTTCTTGCACATCCCTACACTTTCCTTTGATACCCCAGCATACACATATCAGCTTCGCTCCGCCGGAAACTACAACCAAGACACCATGGTTGGTGGCGGTGGTTGCCTTATCCTTGCCATGGCTGCGATTGGCGCGTTGTATGAATTTGAGCAAAATGTCGCAAAAGAGCTTTTTGAAGCTGCTAAGAAGCTGATCCTGTTCTACCTTGATGAGCGCCGCAAAGCTGGCCTTTCTGCCGTCAATGGATCCAATGCCGCAAACGACCACATTAACAAACCACCACTTTGGTTGGTGCAAGCCATGCTGCTCAACCTGATCTTCGGCCACAACTGTGGTGACCGACAGGCCGCCGAAGTTGCGAGCACTCATTGCGCGGCGCTTGTCAGCCTCGCAAAAGCTGCTGGGTTGGACAAACCAACAGCTCCGGAGCAAACGTCTTCTAGTCCTCCCAACCACGCAAACGGCGACAATTTGGAAATGCCAGATGGCTCGCCTTCGCAGTACGACCAAAATGCGGATAGCGTGGATGAACATGCTCAATGGATCCAGTGGAAGAAGATCGAAGAGCGTAAGAGAACTTACTTTGCCATCTTCTCCATGTCGAGCTTGCTTGTCTCCGCCTACGCGCATTCACCACGTATCTTGAACTCAGAGATACATCTAGATCTTCCATGCGAAGAGGATCTCTGGTCTGTCGACAACCCCCAAACGTGGGTGGCTATGGGAGGGCCAATGATTGCACAGACTCGGGGCTTGTCTTTCATTTCGGCCATGACATACCTTCTCGAAGCTAGTTCACGAAACACCACCTCACGGATGCGGAATTCTTACCCCCAAGCTTTCGCAGGCGGTCAACCAATGAGCGGACCTTCTGAGAGTGATATCCGGCCCAGCACTTTCGGTTGTTACGTGCTGATTAACGCCATGCACGTCTACATTTGGGAAACTAGGAATAGGCACAATGGACGTCTATGGAAAGCGCAGGAGACCGAGGCCATGCATGCCCAAGTAGAGCCTGCGCTCAAGGCCTGGCAAGTTGCTTGGAGGGCAAACCCAAACCACAGTATCGAGCGTCCCAGCCCGTTCGGTCCTCTTTCCGCTGACTGCATACCACTACTGGACTTGGCCTATGTCAGACTTTTTGTGAACCTTGGCCGCGCTAAGGAGCTTTTGTGGCAACGTGATTTCGATGGAATGGCGAATGAACTCGCCAGAGGAATCGACATTGTTGGTCAAGCTGACGGGACGCCGGAGAGGTTTGCATCTATGGATATCAATGGAGGTTCTCCCGGCCAGATGGGTTCGCAGGATCACATTAGCCCCGGGCATGCAAATGGTTTCTCCAACTCACAGTCTTCAAAACGAGAGAGACATCTCCGAAAGGCAGCTTTCTACGCTGCTGACTCCCTTTCCATGGCCGACAAATTAGGCGCTTCTTATGCCGACTTCACAGCTCGGGAACTACCCAACTCATCCGCATTGTGTACCTTCGACTGCGCCCAGGTCCTTGCTGAGTGGGTTGCAACTGTTCAAGATCGTGTTGGTCGTCACATGGGTGTGCTTGGCAGAGACGAGATTGATTTCTCGAGCGTGCCAGCGGTTGTATTGCTTGAAGAGGAGGACATCAAGTTACTACAGAAGATTTCCGACATCCTTCATCACGCGGACATGAAGCTAGCTTATGACATCTCTTCCAACAACCTACCGATGCTTGGTGGTCTTTCCAACCTCGGGCATTGCGGTTATGGTACGAAGTTGCTGATGGTGACGGCTTACATGCTGTCAAAAGCGGCTGTTTGGCCTGGTAAGTTTATCACCTCGAAAGGCTTATATACCTGCTAATAATATCTTAGTCACGCATGTTCAAGCCCGCGCACTCGAATCGCACGCCCACCATATCAGCCAGCGTGCAGAAAACTCGCTTCACATACAGTAAATATCCAATCGTTCTGGACCTGTACAGTACCACGCTTCCTTCAGCCGTCGGTTTTCGTAATGGGGTTTCCACCGACGACCACAGCCTCATTTCTTTGCCGGACTTCTTGTATAGCTTACTTCCTCACTCTGGATTGGCTGCATTGCCTTTGTGGCTCAGCGGTACTCGCAGCTGCGCGTCTCTCGGAACATTATTCCAATGTGAATAATCTCTTGGATGCGTGCAGATACGACAGTGTCTACTCTGTCTTGACCGCATCGTTACCAACGCTGTTATTCCTTTTCCTTACTTTTGGGCGTTTTGCACAGGATGCGCGGCGCTTCACTTTATTTTGGATCTTCCGGGTCACTATGGAGAACTTTTCTGTATAAATGGTGCTATCTATGGAGTCGCACAGCTGGCGAGCAATAGCGGCGCAAGCGGTGAGGGTTGTACTGCACTAAGAAACGATGCTACGAACAATCCTTACGAGAACTTGGGATTCGGTTATAGGGTATGGGTGGCGCATCAGGGACAATGGGTCAAAAAGTCAATTTTGATCACGCAGCCAGGAGAAAGTCGCTACAGACTAATGAGAAAACATACATCACTCCTTGCATGCCTCCTCCACGCTTAGTCTCTCCGTGACGTGTCACTGGTGCTTCAGACAACGCTTCTCCGCTATACGCTCAATACCACGTGCACGCTCCCAGACGTTTTACACCGTCCCGCTAGCGGGTGGCTGGCGACCATAGCGTCTGGCGTTGTTCTCGAACCAGATCTTTTTACTGCAACGCGGCGACGCCGTTTGAACCTAAACATAGTTAAAAGCCACCTGAGCAGAAATCAGATCTGGAGCCCATTTACGTGGTATAGCCAGATCGGATACCCGTTAAATCAAATTGCATATTCCACCCTCGATTTTTCCAACTCAAAGCAATGAACCACAAACCCGAACTCTCCCACTGCACGTGTACAGGTTACAATTAGTCCTCTAGATCGGCCAACCACTCCGTTACCATCACCATTCCAGCCTAAGCCTCACAGCCTCACTTACTTAACCCAAATGGTGACAACCAAACTAACATTGAGAGAGAAAAAACCGCTCGTATGTAGATCGAACCTAACCCAACTAATCACCTGGTTCCAATCGGCAACGCGTGTCCGAGACAGTTGCATTCGCAAGGCTTGACATTCAGCGCCTGTTACGGACGCCCGCGGATGCGCTCGGATGGTCGATCTGAGAGAGGCCGCCGCCGCCGCATGTACATCGGAGTCTTCTCCGGATTAGAATGGCCGATCATGGGACTGGAATAGCTTTTGGGATGGTGGGGAACAGGGTCAGGGTTTGGGCAAGAAATGGAGGACCGCGCTGTTCCTGGATTGAGAGACCGGCTTGGTACATCTCTTGATGTTCCATCGTGCGTGTGGGTAGGGCCGATGGGTTGCGTGGCAATAGGGCGCAGAAACGGAGTGGGTATTGATGGGTAGCGCATGATTAAATTGATTTGGATGATGAAGGCATGAAACAGGGAAATTCGTGTATGCTTGGAAGGCAGATGTTCGCTGCTTTACGTACGTACGCAGTGTAGGTATTGTGTGCGCGAGATTTGGGTAGTTCTTCGGCATGCTGTTGGCTTGATGGACTGCGCGCTGACTAACCGCGACAACTGGAGGTCAGAACCCATTTCTCGACTCCGTAATAGTAACACCCTCTCCATCGCAAGTTTTGTCTCAGCAACGAATGAGGTGTAAGAAACATCGTTCGCGGCTACTTGCCATGAGGTGTGCTCAAAGGCGCGCGACGCGTTGATTGGCTAATTTTGGAGCTTGGGTCGCGTAGACCTTCCGATCTCACTCATCCTTCACGACAACCACAATCGCAGTACCATCTAAACAGCTCACTTGTCATCAACTTTGATTAGAAGCCAGTGCAGCAAACAAGTCCACGGTATTCATTGTGAAGATGTCACGGCCAGCAGCGCGGAAAGCCGCACCTAAGGGGGAATACATTGAGACTGTATGTCTACCTCCTCATAAACAATCAACATCAACAACTATCCCACGTACTCTTTGCTCTTCGCGGTCACCACCACCTTCACTGCGTCGATTTCTGATGATAATATAGCGTATAAATTGTCTTATACTAATTCCTCTCCACAGGACTCGGGCAACAAAGTTTCGAGGCGAAGCGCCATCACCGGAACAGCCAACATCACACTAGGAGGGCGCACCGTCATTATGGCAGACGTTCAACTGCGTGGCGACCTTCACCCTACGCGCTCTGCACCCTCTTCTTCGGGGAAAGATGTAACACCGACTAGCATCAGTATCGGGCGGTGTACGGTGATTAGCCAGGGAAGCGTGATTAAGCCACCAAGTCGGATCAGCAGAGGCCAGGTGCATTATTACCCTATGAAGATTGGAGACAATGTTTTTGTTGGTATGTTGACATCATTCTCCTAATTTTTACTTGCTGCGTCTCGTCTAAGATGGGGTAAGTCTTGTGAATGGCTGAGCTGAACAAGTTGCGCAGGACCAAACTCGACTATACAAGCTATCTCCATTTCCTCACATGTACATATTGGCCAGCACTGCAGTATCGGTGCTTTTGCCATTATTAAGGAGAACGTCAAGATACTGCCGCATACTGTCGTGCCACCGAATATGGTAATCGCGTCGGGATCTGTGGTTGGGGGCCAGCCGGCGAGGGTAATAGGTGATGTAGGGGAGGGGTGGGGTGTTAGTGGAGGTGGCGGTGGTGGATTGGGTGTTGGCGGTGGTGGCGAGGAGAAGTGGGTAGAAGGTGGAGATCTGAGGGAGCTGGTCAGGAGTATTAGATGACGGGAAATATGGGTGTTCGTGAGGATGTGCTACAAGGACTGGGATGACGAAAAGAGAAGGTTGGGATGATATCCCTATGCATCAATGTCTGTTCTCTAGGTATGGCGCTATAAAGTTCTGAGTTTCTTCAAACTAGAAGCCTACCACATGAGAAGGTTAGGTTCTATCCCAAACAGGTCCAAGGGGAGCAAGTTGATAAGTCAGGATGCGATATAATAGCTAGCTCGTGTCTTGCGAGGTTCAACGACGTTGTAGCTCGCTAATGCCACTGAAATGTCATCTCTTCCTTGAATATATGCCCCACAAATAACCTCTTCCCCATGAAATGGGAGCGAGACGTTTGGCTGCAAAGACATAGCGAATGACAGAGTATGGGATAATCCGACTACGAGAGTCAATCGCTATATCCAACGTGTTGCTCCTGTTCCCATTATGGCTTGACGTCACCATTTTGGTATTACCAAGATTGTGATCGTCCTCTGATCATACCATACTAGTCTATGCGAGATAGCACGAAATTCGCACTGAATTAATGGGCATCGCCGCACAATCTCTAAATGAGTCGTAGCACCTATATGGCCGAGATCACTTCAGTGCACGTGGCGCTCATATCGATCGCAGCGAAGCGTCTCCATTCTCTATCTCAGCCAGTACTAAAGGGCCGTTTATAGCGGAAATATCTGTTACTAGCTACACCATTTCTTGGTTCTTTTGCGCTTTGACCTCCATAGTAGTTAGCTCAAACTCCCTCTTCTGGTAGATACCCTGAGTGTCCCACGAGTCGGGATAGGCCTCGCTTTTCGTGTCAACAGTAGTTCGTCCATTGGAGTAGATGTGCGCTTTGTGTGTAGATTTAGTGCCGATGGTCGGGCCAGGGCCGAAGCCGAAACCGAAGAGAGATGGGACTCTATGTGATATTAGTGATTCTGCGATGATGAAAGCAGCAAGTAAAGACGTACCGGCTGCGTCGTTGTGTCCCTTCTGCAGTGGACGCCAGCTTCTTTGAAGTAAGAGAAGTCTTGATGTCCCTCAAAAGAGGTCTCAAGACAGGTATACACTGAACAATGATGGTGCCGACGATCTCAGAGGAATACCAGATGTTGGAGTGCGCGTTGCGCCAAAAGTACCACTCGTCCTTCTCGTTGCCTTCGTCTTTCCAACCTGTACGTACAGCGGAAACGACTGCGACCAACATTCCCTATCCGAAAATTAGTGATTGTGTTTTGAGACTGAACTAACAACGACGTACCAGACTCATAGCAACGCAAAGCCCAACCTTTTCCACTCTGCGCATGTCGAGGTTCCATGTGATGACCCAGGGGAAGACAGCGAGTATAAAGTCCATGATGATGTTGTAAACATTGCCACCTTCCTTGAAATCGTCTCTGAATTTCCCGTCGAGGCAGAAGTCGAGGCGGTACCAGACGTCGTAGGATGGCTTCTCGCAGATCTTCGCCCATTGTAGAACGACCTTGGCCACCATGTAAGCATTCATACTGCCGATGATGAACCATAGTATCCATTGACCCCAGTTCTTTGTCAGCTTCAGTAGAGTGACAGCGAAAGCCGATTTCGTGAGGGATTGGTTGATCAGAGTTCCACAGGAAGTAATGTTGATGAGTATGTGCATGCGATCGTCCCATTTGTCTGCCACATAGCCCGTGGCGAACTCGGTGGTTATTATGGAGTTGTTGACAGCTAGTATGACCTATAATACCGTCAGCTATCATCATCTATAGACAGTACATATGCTTACCCATGAGATAAGGAGAATATGATCATCCCACCAGAGACCATGGCGACGAGTGATCTTGATCCATATCCGAAGCGCAAGGAAGAGCGATGCGCCAGCGAAGAGTGTCCATAGTCCAATGTTCAGCTGAAGTGAAGGATCCACGTAATGGTGACCTGAATCATCGTGGTTTCGACGGGAGATCATCTTTTACCCAGCGGTCGGAACGGGATACGGCATAGAAGCGAAATGAAGAAAAACCAAAAAGAGCGTGATGTAGTCGCAGACCTACAAAGTTTAAAGAACGAACGAACGAATGCTCCGGCACTCTGCACTGGATGACCGGGGTGGTGAAGAGAAGGAACGACAGACAAGAAGCGCCGTAAAGTGCGAAGCGGCACAGCTAGATCAACCTTTGCACATCCCCGTGCAAGGATTACACAGATTTGCTGTTGTTAGTACTGATCACAGCCCAGCCAACATCAATCTGCTTGAGATTCCAGACTCGGAGGTTTCGAAATGAGTCCCATCCAGAAGGACGATTGGTGGAACCACTATCCCGGTAGTAGTCAAGCCTCGGGCGCCGTCACACGATAACAGCTGTGAAATCCGATGGATCCTGGGGAAGGCCGTATTTACTAACTGAAATAGAAACTAGCTGATGAGGCGCACATGGCGTGGGCTGACGCGGAAGCTCCCCGTTGTTTAGACCCGTTCGAAGAAGAAACAGAAACTGTTCGTAAGGTCTTTAAGCGATGTTTTGACATATAGATCAGCGTTGGCCATAGCTACTGCCACGCGGTATGACAAGGTTTCACAGATATGCGAAACATGGAGAATGCCGTGTATACATCGCAAAGGCGTGCGGGCGTTGCTGCGAACTGGCCAAGTGCCGGATGCGCCACTGCAACTGTGTACTGGCGGAGAATTCGCAATCCCAAGTAATCCCTGGAGCGGCTCGAAATTAAATCGGCGCATTGCATCACGATGCCAGCTGCGCCGAGCGGATGGTAAGGGATGGGAAGCCACCAGGAACACCGCAGTTATGCCGTCCAGTAATGACCAGCATCCCCAGCGCGCAGACTTTGCTGTTGGGATATTTTGGCAGTGCTGAACGCGAATTCGATAAAACGCGAGGAAGGGGTCGCGAGGAAGGGGTCGCGAGGAAGGGGGAGAGAGGCCTGTTTCAAGTTGACAGATGCCAAGTTCAACGACCGATGCACTATTTCCAAACGGGTAAGGCATATCCGAAGGCATGAACATGGACGTCATTGTGTCGGGCACGCCACGAACACCTCCCTTCTCCTTTCTCAGTTCAGCGTCCTAATTTCGAGGCATGCTTTCAAATCTACACCGGATGTAAACACGCGATTAGCGGAGGTCGGATCAGAACACTACAGCAAGCTCAAAAGCGTGTCTAATACTGATCCTAATGGCGGGGAAATTACAATCGGAAGTATGCAAGATTCCTCCACAGCCGAGGCTTGAAGGGAAGACTACAGTGTGTATAATGGAACTTATTGTTCCGCGATCCAGTCCTATTCTGTCCCTTGCTCTCATCCTGTTTTCCTGTCAGCTTCTTGAGATGTTCTTTCCGTCTTCCGGCTTTTGCAATTTGTCATTTTTTCTAGGCATGTAGCATGCTTTCAGGGCGTGTGATAGTCAATGCAGCGAAGGGCATAAGCTGTTTATCACACCCATGGTTGGACAACAATCTTCTTGCCGCTGACTCCGCTGTGCAATTTCTCGATACCCTCGGCGACGTTGTCCAAGCCGCCGATGACTTCCGCTGGAACACCCTTTAGCACTCCATTTTTGATAGCTTTTTCCAGAAATCCGCCACGCGCGAGGAAATACTCATGCCACTCTACATTCTCTGGTGCATGCGTCGAGAAACGATGAAATTGCGTCGTAATCCCTTCGGGGAAGTCTTCGGCCTTCATACCCGTCATAACCAGTGGCAGTAAGGTAAGGATGTTTGCCTTCGTAACTGGCTCGTCTACTGGTGCGAGTATCTTGACAAGAGTGGATAGTGAGGGCTTGAGTGCGATGGTATCAAACCAGTAATGAATAGGAAAGAGATCGCGGATTGCACCAACGGTTGCTGGGTCGCTGTGGTCGAAGACATAGTCTGCACCACAGTCGTGGAGAAGATCAAAATTGTGGTGAACTTGTACTGATGACGGTGTATCCGGCTGTTTTCGCGTAGGAGATGGATAGAGATCCCATAGCGGAAGATCCTCCCCAGATAAGAATCTTCTTTTCCTGTTCGCCTTCCGGCAGCGAAGAGGCTGGTATAGTGGGGCGATGCATGTTCAGCGTTGATGTGGCGAACAAGGCTCCTGGAGGCGTGTACGAAGCCAGAGTTACAGCTTGGGTGAACTCAGTGTCGCCAATCTGACATGATGCTTAGCAAAGAAACGGTCTGATCAGGCCCAGTCTACTTACTTCAACGACTTCAGACTCATCAACGATGGTGAAGCGCTGCAGGCCACCGTACTTAGCCTTCTTGTGCGAGAAGATCTTTGTGCCGCACACTATCCGATCGCCAATGGTGACATTGCTCACGCCGGGTCCGATACCCTCCACAACACCTGCAACAGGACTACCGAGGACTGCAGGATATTCTACAGGAATCATTGAGAACTTCGCACATTTTGCATCTGCTGGTTGTATGGCGCAGGCGTGAACCTTGACAAGTACCTCGCCCTCTCCTGGCTCTGCTAGATCAGCATCGCAGACGCGAAATTCACCCTTTACAGTTTCCAAAAATGCAGCTCGGTTGCTCATTCTGAGAGCTGATGTGGATTTGTGCGAAGCTTAAAATCGAGTCGACAGTAGTAGACTATTCTCAACGGCACGGGTTTGATGAATTCGTGACCTAGGTAGATACCGGCAATCATATTGTTATATATTTACCTAGGTCTTCTTATCAATCTTTGCAAAAGGGTGGTGTTTAGTGTGTAAGCTGACTGCAGGAGTTTCGCAGAATGTATCCGAATACGGAATCGGCCTTTGAATATATTGGCTTGTGAAAGTGCGATGGAAGGCACCTGCATCTTGGGTTGTCCTTGACTTTAACTGCACCTGATCGACCTCATACTTTACAACTCCCGTCGACCTTGAAAGCTAAGTACGGGATTGTCATCTATCGAGATAGGATCCGAAGAGGTAGGTGTATGGTTCAGATAGCTATATTTGTCGACGCGAATAAGCACGCTAATCATCTGGTGTCAGACCCCCGCATAGCTCCTGGACTCGCTTGTCATTTTGCACTCTCAAGCTCAATCCTTCGGCTTCACAGCTTCCCTTGCAACTCACGTCCCGCCGACTCGAAATATCTGTTCACGCGATCGGCCCAACGCGATTGTCAATACCTCCGACTCGTTACCGAGATTGGTAACGATAGCCACGGCTAGCATAACGTCCATTCGAGATGTATCCATACCGAACGAATGCAATCTGGATTAGACCAGGACCCAAGGTCTATGTGCGACGAAAAAATGTGTTCAGTCACGATGTGTTGCCTGAGGAGGATGAGCTGAATTACGATCTGCTTCAGATTGACGGACGCTAGAGTTTTGACCTAATCGAAGACGATGGTGAGGAATATGGAACCAGCTATTATGCGCATTAAAACAATGGGCTCAACTTCAAAACGTCCACCGAAATTAACGTCAAGCGCTATGTTGCCATAAACACTGTATCTCGATGTTTAAGAGCTGGCTGCATCTCCTGTAAGTTTCTATATCGTGGTCTTCAGATGGTTGAAGGTGAAAGAGCCCTTCAAAGCAAGTTTCTTGGTGGCATGCGGATTAGTGTATCGACTCATTGAAACCCCGTTGTTTGCATCAGTGGTAGAGACACTAATGACGAGATGTATTGTTCTACTCAACGTACGATATCTTCGCAATATGACAGTCTATAAGTTGACAACAACAGGACGGAGGCAATTTAACATACAGAGAGCGTCCTCTTCTCTCAGTTCTACCTGAGGGTCGCTTGGCGCTAAGACTTACATTCGTTCTGACTCAGTTTTATGCGTTGGCTAAAGACCGCACACTGTACCAGAATCAGATTCTGATATGTGCTTTCTTCGATTGAGGAGCTGGTTGCGCGACTACCAAAATAATCACCCTTGTGCCAGACCCGCACCTTTTCTCGGCTCAAATTACACAAACGACTCATAGACGCGAGAAACTCTAAATGTGTTTGTCTCCGTGAAACCTGAGACTTCTGTTGCTGGATGTGCCATACGCTATGCTATCGTACTGCTGGAGAAATCCGAACATTGCAAATCTTTGTGTGACTCGAATACATATCCGCAAGCAGCACTTGAAATCCATATATTGGAAAACATCCCTAAAACCTTTTAGGACACGATCATTGTAACTCCCTGACTGGGTCTGGGCTTTTCGGGGGTGCGACGTAATCGAACTGGAGACGTGAACCCCATCGCGGAACCAAACCTGCCCCTGCGCATTCAGAAAGACTTTCGTATCGCTACTCGCTACTCAAGACTCTCGCTCAATTGAGACTCACGTAAGCTCGACTATGTTAGCAATTCCACGTCCTTCCGACATTCCTATTGCACTAAGGTATGCACAGACTAGTGCAATATAGACAAGGGTAACTTGCAATGGAGAACAGAAAGGCTGGAAGGCATGCATTGGTTTCTAGCAGCTATGTTCGATGACACTATTTCAGGAACAGCCTTCATCAATCACGTCTTATCGCCCGCTTTATTGTAGCAAGTTCATCACCCATGTTCTCAGAGGACCGAAACGCCCTCACATCTAGTTACCAACGGAGAGCAGAAGTGTCTCGTACTTCTGCTTCCAGTAGCGGACATCGTTACCACCACTAACACCAGATCCTACGCCGTTGGTTTTGGAGACTTTGGCTTCAGCAAGCTCCAGTTCCAGCTTGTTGATAGTCGCGTCCCTCTCAAAGACGTCTCGGCGCAACTGATCAGCCTTCTTGTAGGTGGGAAGCATGTCCTTGTACTCCTTATAAGAACGCTATATAGCAAGTCAGTATTAGTTGATAATCGTTTGCTGACCGGCTGTTTACCTTGGCCAAATCAGTCCACTCCTGTAGAGCGATTTCGAGATCCTCAATCTTCTTATCTTGACCACGAATTGTCTCCTCATCGTTTGGAGACGAAGAGCCGCCTACGGCAGATGAAGTGCTCTTGGAAGCCTTGAGCTCTTCGATCATTGCCTTGAGTTTGGTGTTCTCACTCTTGAGAAGCTCCGATGTCTGGACAGCCAGCCTGTTCTCTTTCATCTTGTTGAGAAGTTTGTTGTGAGCTGATTCCAACTGCTCAACTTCCTGGTCTAAACCTTCAACTTTCTTCAGAAGACCCTCTACCTTGGTGTTGGCCTTGCTCTCCTCGTTCTTGCTAGTGTCCAATTCAGCACTGAGACTGCTTACTTGTTCGGACAAGGTTGATTTCTCTTGGCTGAGCCCAGTAATCTGTTCCTCGAGGTTGGCAAGCTTGATGAGGCGCTGCTGCAGCTCGGCATTCTCCTTCTGGTGACGTTCGAGATCAATCTTCAGGCCTTCAATTTGCTTGATTTGCTCGTTGAGTTTCTACGAATACGTTAGTATGGTTTGTTAGACTTGCTATAGCAACATTACTTACCGTAAAGGCCTGTGCATGCTCAGCCGCCTGGTGGGCGTACTTCTCATTCAACACCTTGTTCTCTTTCTTGGACTTATCAGCATCGAGCCTGGCAGTGCTCTCGCCTCCCTTCAGCTGGCTGATCATGGTGTTCAAAGCGGTTGTCTTTTGAGTTTCCTTTGCCAATAGGTCGGTAGTCGATTTCAGCTGGGTAGTGAATCGATCAGTAATCTCCTGCTCTGAAGACTTCATCTTAGTTTGAACGTCTTGGAGAGCTTTGCGCAGAGTGTCGCTCTCAGCGAGAAGCTGCTTCTTGGAGTCTACGAGAGTGTCAAGCTCCTTCTCTATATCGGTCACTTTGCGGAGATCTTCAGCCTTCGTTGAGCGCTCCTCCTCCAACAGCTGCATGTATTTGTCGATCTCCGTACGGAAGTTGCCCTTCTCGAGTGTGAGACGTGAAACGCGCTCCTGGAGGTCTTCGAGCTCCTTGAGCTTGCCGGAGGTCTGCTCCTTGTACGCAAGGAAAGCCTCTTGGTGCTCAAGAATGAGATTGTGCTGGATGTTGACCTATGTTGTGTATGACGTTAGTCGATCTCTCACAGATACAAAGAGTCTTCTGAGTATCGCTGACCTTCTTATGCTGAATATTCAGTTCATCTTGTGCGTCTTTGATGGCCTCGTTCACCATTGAGCTGTGGTACAAGCTCATGTTGTCGCGCTGTTTCTCAAGGAATGCGGGCAACGCTTCCTTGGCCTCATTTGCCGCAGCAAAAAGCTGTTCCAACTCATCCCAGAGGTCGTTGAGAGTCGAAGTGTTCGCATCTGGCAACGCTTCACGGATCAGCTCTAGCAGTCGGCGCGTGTTGATGACAGTGGTTGAGACAGTTCTGGAGAATTTTTTGGCGTGTTTGGCAACTTCCTCCTTTAAGACGTTACCCTGGGAAATGGCGAGTTGTGCATCGGCGTTGTGATGAGCTACGTCGAGAGCGACATGGCCGGTCTTTAACGCGGCGATCTGCTCTTTGGTGGCCATGGCGGTATCGGCAGTGGGAACGGCAGCGACGGATGCGGATGCGGCCAATGCTGCTTTCCTCCGCAAAGGATCAGCATACTTGGAGTATCCGAGGGAAATCGGGCCACTGTAAGACTGTGCAGACGCCATTATTGGGCGTATTGCTACACGCAACGGTCAGCCAGAGCCTACCGTGCTACACTCCACGGATGACATGCCTGGATAGCTGATCTATGACTTACGATGGACGATAGAGAATCGCAAGAGTTTGGTACGGCTCAGTTTGCAGCTTCGGAGTGCGGTCTTGTTGTTGGTGGGGTGAAGCTGGCGAAGGTTTTGTTGATAGAAAATGGAGGGCAGTCGCGCTTCGCATCACGGCAGCAACTCAGGTAGGTGCTCTCACCACTTAAGCGATTTGGCGAGAGAGACGCCGACAGACGTAGCCTAATCAAAAACATGTTTCCTCACGGTGAAGTGACGATCAAAGGAACCCATGTATCAACTACTATCTCACAACTTGCCATGTGCTAGGAGAGCATGTGACAGGTGAGACTGCCGTTACCTTTTTTCAGCCTCACAGCTGTCAAAAAGACCTGTCCATATTGAGGCCACGAAGTTGGTAATAACAGACATTAATGAGAGCATATTGTTGCGGAAATTTATGATACTGATAGTATGCTTGACTACCAGCCAGGCCGGAAAATGAAGAATTTAAAACAATAGAGGAAGTAGCAGGAATCAAAAGAGAGCGAGACATGAATGCTGATGAAAATGTGGAAATTGACCTCCGGAAATAAGAGATGTAAACAACGACTCTCCTCGTTCTTGAAGCAGCCAACTGATGGCACCACCAGATGCGCTCAGCTTTAGGTATCCATTGGTGGTGGCGGCGATCCTTTAGATGTAGTTATCGCATGTTATCAAGCAGGTATGACCAGGTTGCAAATCACAAAACGCTGACTGGGGAGTTTTGACTTGTGGAGAGAGTAAGATGTGCAGTCCCCTCAGGACTTTACCTTGTCGTCTCCACAACCCGCCAAGCTGCATGTGGAACCCAACATGGAATAGCACCATGGCTAACTCGAAATACGATCAACTTACTTCCCCTCAAAGAAACAAAAAGTGCTGACAGAGCTGGTGGCAAGACACGGCTTAAGCCTCGGTTACTGGGCTGAGCACAAAAAGCAAAAGGCGCGTCATGAAGCTCGCCTGTCAAACCAGGAAGACGGGTCAGGTTCCCATTCGACGTTTACTGTGTGACGGTCACCTCGGTTCGAGATGGGTCAGGGTCGACTGCAGTTTGTCGTGGCAGGCGTGCAGAAGGCATATTTTTGGTCTTCATCGAATTGATTCAAGGTGGGACACGCAAGTTCCAGACACTCAGGCTCCCGGATACCCGCGCAAAACACGGTCCACCCCTTTGAGGAGTGTTGGAACGGAGCTAGTTCACTGTGGTTTTGGTGAGGCTCGTGGAATGTGTTGCAGTGGGTCGATTAGGGGGCTCCTGGCTATTTATCCACCCGCGCATGGGGAACGGCCGGTTGAACCATGCGAGTGGGCGTTTGGAGAATGTTACCTTGAGGCGAGACTGGTAAAGTTGAGGTGAATAGGGCCGTACAGCAGACTCATCGCAGAGGCACGATCACACGCAGCTGGGGAGAACGGCCGAATCGTGGCGTCTTGGACAAGCATTGGAGGGTTGGGGTGGGTCCACTTTCGGAGGTATGGTTGCGGAAAGAGCCGCCATTCAGTGCCTGAAACACAGCTTAAGCTGTACCTAGGCATCTACTCGCCTGCCCTGCAGCATCTGCGTCCAAGTCGACATGGAAGCACGAAGGATTTTGAGGAGAAGGCAGACAAAAGCTGGCGTTGCAGAGCACGAGCCGGTAGAAACGGCTAGCCATGTTGTACTCGCCTGGTGCCCTGCTAGCAGCGTACAATATCGGCATGCCCGCCTACCGCGGACCAGTGAAACGTTGAGGCACCGGTAGAGGTCCGAAGCATCAGGTTGGGGAGTGAAATTCTAGTCATGTTTCAATGCGACGGCAGCAGGCTTCCTAGCCGGGGGAGTAGTCGTGTAATAGACTTGGATGCAGCGGGAATCGATCGTCACGCCAACTTGCCGTCTCGTGGCTTTCACGTCGACCATCACGTTGCTGCTGCAGATCGCAGCCCAAAGCAGGATGGACATCCGAACGCGTCGGGCCTGCGCACGCTCGACCTGCCCTTGGCTGCCGTGTCGCGGGAAAGACATTTAATATCACCCTGCCCGCCCAGCTGGGTCCGCGAACGGTGCAGATCAGGGATTCTTCGGCAAAGCACCTGGGCACGTTATTTCTTAGACCAGTCCCATACCGTCCCGGCTGTTTCTGTCATCTTCTTAGCTTCTTAGTCGTGCATAGTGTCTCGTTTGCTGTGCCTGTTCATTGACATAGACTTTTTGCTTCTTCGTCCCTCGTTCTGTCGCGCACCCCATTGCCTAGTTGCCCTCACTAGCACCCTCCACAACACCAGTTGACTGCACCCCCTCCCGACATCCGGTAGCGTCACCCTCCTTCATTCCAATTACCATACGCGAGTCACGCAGGCTAAGACCATAGCTGACACCAGAAGTAGGCCTCGACTGCAACTTCGCTACAGGACTCCGTGTATGCTCGTAGCCCATCTCTAGCGTGTCGCGACTTCCTCCTCTCCATCACAGCTGCCTCTAGCTTTCTCTACCACGTCACTCTCTGCCATTACATGGCACCGGCAATAATGTGCTTCGGACGAAAACCCTCTGCTACCGATCCGGAGTCCAGGAAGAATGCCGAGATCGAGAAGAATCTCCGAGGCGACCGGAAGCGGGCTGAGCGCGAGGTGAAGCTGTTGCTACTCGGTATGCATGTCAATTAGGAATCCGGTGATGCAGCGTGACTGAGACAAGAGTGCAGGTGCCGGTGAGAGCGGCAAATCAACCGTCCTCAAGCAGATGCGCATCATCAACGCTGGCGGCTTCCAGAGTCTTGAGCGCAAAACATGGCGGGCTACCATCTTCAACAACTTGGTCTCGGCCTTCCAGACCATCTACGCGGCTATGCAAGAAGACGACATAGACTTTGAGGACGACGACAACATTGTACGCTCAGCCGTCGCCTACCCAAGAACAATGCTAACAAACCGCAGCGGTATTCCGAGATGGTCAACTCTGCGCCCGACATTGGCACCGAGGAGCCCATGCCCGAGGAGTTCTACACAGCCTTCAATTCCCTCTGGGCCGACAAGGGCGTGCAGCTCACCATACTCAAGGGCAACCAGTATGCGCTGCACGACAACTTGAACTAGTACGTCATGTATGGCCTACTCGACTACCCCGACTAACAGCCTCAGCTTCTTCCAGAACATCGACCGCCTGTTCCAAAAGGACTTCCTCCCCACCGACCAAGACATCCTGCGCACGCGATTACGGACAACCGGTATCTCCGAGACCATCTTTGAGCTGGGCAACCTGACATACAAAATGGTCGACGTTGGTGGCCAGCGCTCAGAGCGAAAGAAGTGGATTCACGTCTTTGACAACGTGCAAGTCGTGCTCTTCCTTGTCGCCATCAGTGGATACGACCACGTGTTGGTAGAAGACAGGAACGGCGTAAGTCATCTTCCTGAAACGTACAACCGTACACCCACTAACAGGATTAGAATCAAATGCACGAAGCTCTGATGCTGTTCGAATCCATATCCAACTCCAAGTACTTCGAAAAGTCGGCGCTTATTCTCTTCCTCAACAAGATCGATTTGTTCACCGAGAAGATTGCAGGCGGAATGAGCCCGATCAGGAGGACATTCTCCGACTATACTGGCGGCGACAGAGATGTCGAGGCAGGTAAAGAGTTCTTCGCAAACAAATTCCGCAACCTCGTGCGACAGCCCAAGAAGGAGGTCTACGTTCACTACACGAACGCGACCGACACGAATCTGCTCAAGATCACCATGGCATCCGTACAAGATATGATTGTCCAGCGCAACCTTAACGCCCTGATACTATAATAATCACTGATGGACGCCTTGCGCGGAGCCATCGTCGTGGTCTTACACCCGCAGCAGGGAGGAGCGCTTGCTCGCTCGCCCAAGCGAAAGCCAGGGACGCATACCCACCCCGCGCTGCCGATCGACCCACCTGCCCTAGAACTGGATAGTCCACCTGGCCGGACCCGGAGTAGCAACAGACTTTGAGTGGACGAGGAGAGACGATTTCCACGGCCCATTCCATTTTATACCCCTGATATCCCTTTCTCCACTTCTTCTATCTTCGCCAATACTTTGACGATCTCACGACGTAATCTCTGGGTCTTGATTTTGAGTCTTGATCTTGGTCCTTTTCTCTTTTTTTTTGGTTCTTCTAATAAGCGGATCCGCAATTTTGTAGATTGAATAGTGTATGCAGGTCTAAGGAGATGAGCATGTCTTGAATCTGGGCTGCTGGAAGATACAGAGGTTGGATAACTAGCGTCCAATGGGGCTTCTCTGTACCTACCTGAGTATCTTGCCTAGTAGCTCGCTGAGAGCAGCAGGATTACAGATTGGGGCCAGATAATGTCATGTACGAGAGTATATTACACGGCATTTGACGTGCAGAGGAGATGCGAGCAAGTTACAATTTGCTACTGCAGTCTAATATCACAAACTATCTACTCAACTCCGAATGTCCGATTTTCGAATCCTTTCATTCTCCGTATGGTTGCATAGCCTACTTACCCAGCACCATGTTTACAAAGAAAGATATGCAGCAACTTGCACCACATTTACCCTTCTATTTACCCAACTTCCCTCCCCTAAGCGAAGGACGACCCAAGAAGTCAGTCAATTAGTGTGAGAATTATAGTTGTGCCGCAAATCCCGCAGGGTCCCAACGCAACGCCATGCATGCGCGGCTACGGCGTGGTTGACTACAGAGCCTAACAAGTCGGCCAGTCGCCTTTTCGGTCCGTGCCGCTTTTCTTTCCGCGAGCGAGCGGCGTTTGACTCGCAACGTTCCAGTGTTTAATGGAGGGTCTATCCATTGAAGAGAGCAGGTGTGGCTAGGCCTGGGAGGGCTTGGCTTGGAGCTTGTGGCGTTGGGGAGGAGAAGTTGGGTGGGTGGGCAAACGCAGGTGTGGACTAAGATGTTTAGGTAGAGATGCAGTATTTTGTGTTGTGGACACAGGTGGATATTGGATGCTTAGGGTTGAGTCGTGAGGTTTTACGTAGAGTGTTGTAGGAGTGGGTCTAAGGTTGGTGTCACTGAAGATGGTGTCGAAGGGGTGTGCGAAGTGAAGTAGTAAGGATGGGGCAATCCCTTGCTCGCTTGCTCCAAAGAGGAAGAGACCAGACGACATATGAGACAGAGATAGTGTGCTTGCCATGCTGTTGTGGACATTTGTTCTTTGCAAGTGCAAAGTATCTGTGCGTGCCTACTGCAAGTGCGCAAAAAGCATCTGTAGATCCATGTAGACTCGATCCGCAACATCACATCCAAGCCGCTTCGACAGTAGACTAGGCCAGACGAAGTAAGTAGTTGTCTCAGAGTTGTGCGTGTTTTTACCAAAATAGCTAGTTTCTCCGTGATACGTTTTCTGTATGATGGTATCTAGGTAGAGAGTGTCTAATACATTATATCGTTATATCCTTTAGCCTATCACAAAGTAGCGGGCCGCGGTTCAGTGACGATGCGCATGACATTAGCCATACGTAATAGATCCTGATCTCGACTTCATTGATGATTGTTGAGTGAACCGCTTCCAAAGCTTAATACGGCGTCGTCTGTCGTTGCTCACTCCACTTTCTTTCCCAATGCTGGATAAAGATGGTCGCTGACAAGATCTGAACTTGCACTTTAACATGTACATCTGCTTAGATAATACAAGAAAACAACCTTTATAGGGTATCGTGTTCGTTTCCAAGTTGTCTATCATGAAGATTCTCCTTGTTCTCGCTCATCCAGAGCCGCAACCTCCGGTTTGCAGCCCGTACAACTCAAGTTTGACTGAGGATGTGAAGAAGGAGCCGTATGCTCGGTTTGCTGTGGTTGACAACAGAGAACTGTGGCCACTGAGGCATAGAGGACATGGTAGATACTGGGTTGGAAAGTACTTAACACATTATGCTGTGAGGTATACAGGAAAGTATGGACGGGACTGATGATAGAAACAGGACTCTACCGCAAGCAAAACGTTGGGTGAATCGTACTGCACATGCTACATAGCAGAGGCGGTGCATCGAATGTCAGTGAGGGTGAACAGCAGACTAGTGATAAGCAGGTGAGCGTGACATGTGCCAGTGCCAGTGCCAGTGCTAGTGCCAATCGGGGAAACATCGGCGCGTGGTGACCTGCAGCAAGTCCTGATAGCCGACCGACTTGAGCCTCATCAACACCATCGTCATACCCCAATACCCCTCCACCCAGCTGGCCATGTTCTCGCCCGCTGTTGGCAGAGTCGCCCGCTCTGCAAACACTTTGGCTGCTGCGCCAGCCAACTCGTTTGTCTTCACCCGCTGCGCCCGCTCTGCGCTGAGCACCAGCACTGCGCCGCAACAACCCTTCCGACCCAGTCACCAGCGGCGCTACTCGTCCTCGAAGCCGTCAACACCCCCGAATAGCAAGAAGAAGCCCGCCGAGTTGGATCAGAATGCTACGGCAGAGCTCCGGGGTGCGGGGAGGAGGTCCAAAGAGACGAAGAAGCTGAAGGAGCCCTCGACGGCTACTACAGGCAACAACGTGCCCTTTGTACCACCGACAAACCACCTCCGGGAAGACGGTATGCTGTTACGAGGGTACACACCACCATGCACGTGCTAACACGGACCAGATGTCAAGCTATCCGCCTTCTTTGGCCTCCACCGCCCCATCTCCATCTCGCGCTCCTTCCCCAGTTCGACGTCGACCGCTGAATTCGACGCCTTCTTCGACGTCAACCGGGCAAACGACGTCCAAAGAATGGAAGCCACCAAGGATGTTCTGAGTGGCTTCTTGGACCGCGTGCACGCCGAGATAGATGCGCAAGAGGAGCAGCGAGCTGACGCAATACAATCAGAACAGCGCATCATCCACGTCGATTTCCAGCCAACAAAAGAGAACATCGAGGACTTGGCCGCCCGCCTTGTTCCCTTCCAACCACCACCGGCACCTGATCTGAATGATCCAATCTATAGCGCGACTGAGTCCGAGTCCCGCTCTGCCGAAGATCTCTCCGCTAGCATTAACCAGCGCATAACCGAAGTCCCACTACCTTCGGAACAAGACCGGCCGAGCACATTCCGCGAGCACGTTGCGCGACGACGATATGGCATGTACATGATTAGTGTAAAAAGGCAACGGAAGCTCAAGATGAAGAAGCACAAGTACAAGAAACTTATGAAGAGGACAAGATTGCTGCGGAGGAAGCTGGATAGGACCTAGTGAGTATATAGCGTGGCGTTATAAGCATGCATGGTCAGGTCAAAGAGAATCATCTCACCGACTCACGGAGTGCTGGACTTGGGGCATCCGTGTTGCCTTGCGCAGTTGCGAAACGGGTCGCCATGACCACGAGTAACACGCGCGGCTCGAACAGTCGCCTCCTCATGGCATCTTCGGTTGACAGAAGGCATTACGAATCTACCCAACTCATTTCTCAATTCCTGCGCATTTTCTTGGTGTTTTGAGCAGGTTGTTTCGATCGCATTTGGCGCCAGACAGGTCGCGTCATCTTTCCCAATATCACCGTCCAATATCCACCATTACGTGCATTTTTCCTTGCATTGCGTTTCCGCCCGCGAATCTTGCTGTTTCCTCATGCATCGCAACATGTCTTTGAGAATTCGAATGGAAGTTCAAGATAGAACGCATTGATGATCGGCGCCGTCAAGCGATGTTCGTCAACGGCGGCTATAGGCGTAGCTCCGTGTCGCAAAGTCACATGAAACCCCACCGCGACTGAGGCCGTCACAACACCCCCAACATAAGGCATCGGTAACGTCAGTCCCTTGAGTCGATGCCCCGCACGGGAGCCTTATCAGACGGATACTAAGGCGTAGCGAAGTCGCAGCCCGGCAATCATACGTTCCAGCACGCCAAAGAGCGCATGACGCCTTGGCGGGAACACCCCTCAGTCATTTTTCCATCACGTTTACTAGACTCCGCTGTGTTCTGGGCGGCGGGCCGAAGGCTGGATACAGGTCTTGGGCGCATGGTTGAGACGTGTAGGTGATCCTTGGTGGCATCACCCCAGCTACGGCGCTTGAATGTATGTATGTTCCTTGGAGAGAGAGGCAAGTGAAAAGGTGATATATAAGTCGGAGTTACCTCGCCCACATTTCAAAGGCCAGCAACTTCGACAACAACAAGTCAACAGTAGCATCCAGCAAACTCTTCCTTTCGCTTTTCAGCACTTTTTCCATTCTTTCGCCCAGGTTGGCAATATTAACATCTACCCTATTACTACTCACTTTTTTCCAAAGAGCTAGTCTCTCGTTTCCACATTAACGTTTAACGCATTACAACTTCGTTTTTTCTTCGGTCGATTCCAAATCACACATCAGCAAACATGGTTTCCAAGACTTTCATGATCGCGGCGATGATCGCCTACGTCGAGGCCCGTTTCGGTCAGGAGCAAGTCCCTATCAATGCTATCAGCAGTGTTCAGGGTGGTGATGCTGGTGCTGCTTCTACTATTGCTGGTGCGGCCATCTCTGACCTGCTTGGTGGAGCAAACTCTTGCGACAAGGTATGCCTCTCCACTCTTCAACATCCACTTTCCCAGTTCCTGGTTAACGAGTAAAACAGCTCGTCCGTGCTGACCAGATCTTCACTGAACTCGGTGGAGGTGCCGATGCCCTTACTGCCGCTATTGGCATGGTTACCGCAGAGAAGAACACTAACCCCTTCGCTGGCGGTAACGCCCAGAACGTCTGTGGCGATGCTTCGCTCCCTGTCACTCCTGAGCTTCGTGGTATTACCCCTCTCATCGACCCCGATGTCGATGTCAACGGTGATGCTGCGGCCCTTAGTCAGAGCAGTGCTGCTTCTCCTCTTGCTGCCGATGGCCTGAGTGTCTTTGATCTCATGGACCAGGCTGGTCTCGGTGATCTCGTTGTCAGCCAGGCTTCTGCCGGTGGTGCTGCTGCGGGAGGTGCTGCTCAAGGTGGAAACCAGGCGGCTGCCGGTAATGGCAACGCGGGTAACGCTGCGAATGGCAATGCTGGCAACGCAAACAACAACGGCAACGCAAACAACAACGGCAACGCAAACAACAACGGCAACGCAAACAACAACGGCAACGCAAACAACAACCAGCAACAGCAAGGTTCCGCCGCTGGTAACGCTACTGACAATGCTGGTAACGATGCCGCTGCTGGTAACAACAATGCCAACAACAACAACAACAACAACCAGAATGCCAATGCTGGTAACAACAACAATGCTAACGCTGGTAACAACAACAATGCCAATAACAACGGCAACGCTGGTAACAACAACAACGCCAATAACAACGGCAACGCTGGTAACAACAACAACGCCAATAACAACGGCAACGCTGGCAATGACAACGCAACCAACAACCAGAACGACAACCAAAACGGCAACAACCAGCAAAACGGCAACAACAACGCTGGTAACAACGCTGGTAACAACGCCAACAACCAGAACAACAACCAGCAAGATGCCGCAGCAGGAAACGATAACAACAATGCCAACGCCGGTGCTGATGCTGGCAACGCAGCCGGAGGAGCAGCCGGAGCCGGAGGTGAAGATTTCGGCCTCTGCACACCTACCATAACCTTCCAAGGCGGCGAGAACGGTCGTGCAGCTGACGAATTCACCTTCCAGATCGCCGACCCCCTAGCTCGCGGCGGTCAAGGAGAAGCCCTGAATCCCGACATCATCACCAACGCTCTTTGCAACCAACTGACCAATGTCTGCGAGGCAAACGACGCCGCTGTTGCCACATGCGAAAGTGCTGCTGCCGCTGTTAAGGGTGGAGATAGGAACAAGGCTTTGGCGGATCAGTTCAACAGCCTCATTGGATTCCCAGGTGCAGTCACAAACCCTGATGGTGGGCCTGAGGATGTTGCTGCTGCCGGTGCGGGTGCTGCTAAGGCGAGGAAGATGCGCAGGGGACTCAGGATGTAAAGAGTAAGAGGAGCTGAGATGGGAGATGGAGTAAAACAAGAAGACGGGGATGTGCTTGATTGAGATGGAATATGAGAACAGTGCACACTTAGCTGGATGCTCACTGTCAAGAAGTTGCTCGACTTTTCCCTTTTTTATACTGTATTCTTATACCATAGCGTTTGCCTTTCATGGAACGACGATTAGATTGATATCGATGAACAAACTTGTTACGATCAACAACAAACTGTATCTTCATTTTTGGGCCATGAGATGATGATTGACAACTGCTTTCTCCATTGTTCGGCCGTGAGATAGTATCGTGTATCGTTTGATGTCTTTGTGATGTTTTGTAACGCATAATGTTGGAATTCCCAAGCTCACGGAGGTGATTGATTCGTGATTAACTCTCAGTGCTTGACCAAGTTCGATGTGCTAAGTGGCTATGGAGTTTGTCTTGTCGTCTCGTAGGGGCTGAACCTTAAAAGGACTCGTCATGGCTGCATGCCCACGTCCACGTCGCCGAGCTCATTTATATCAAATACAACCACTGATACCCTTCGTTCCTTGGTTGGATGTGGTAGTCCCATTCGCGGATCGGTCCAGTGGGTTTTGAAGTCAGCGGCGTCTGGTGAGGGAAGTATTTTCCATTTCGAGACGCTGGTGTTGGACTCCCTCTTTTGTGTTATGGAAGGTCGGTCGAGCCACCGGATAAGTAGCAAGCGTTCCTGCCGCTAAGTCAATCCGTGGCAGCTGATACATCTATACGTCCGGACAACAGCGCATGCGGAGATTTCCACCATCGCTGGTGTGCTATAATCTTGGTACAAGACAGACTGGAACACGTTCTGAAGAGGTATTTGCATTGGCTTGCGGTATTCTCCTACTACATGGCAACAACTATCCGTATCTATGGTTCTCCTCGGTCGACAGGACGCCACCCCCCTCCTCTCCGGTAGGCACACGACAGCTCCAGGAACGGCGAGGTAGTGAACCCAGAACTGGGGGAAAAGCAAGTTGTACCGTTCCCTACATTGTGGATTCGATCGATCTTCCGACTTCCGTGTGTCCGTCCCGAAGAAGAAAAGAAAAGAACGTGGCTAGACAACGTCATGAGAAATCTCCGTGGTCACAAGCTGCATCCATGTCTGCGATACAGCTCTTGTTGCGGGCTTAGATTGCAGAGGCAGCAGTATCTGCCCGAGCGTCTTCACCACACGGGCTGTGCTTCGACCTAATGCATCGAGGATGGATACTTCCTGATTCCGAGAATCCTCCCCGGCATCCCCGCACATGCTTCCGCCTTCACAGTCGCGTGCGGCTAACTCTTGGTACGTGATATGCAGAAGATAGTGGAGTTGCGCGTCCATTGGCCATCTGTAACACGAAGTTCGACTTGGTGTAACTGATCTGCAAGTCCGTTGTGATCTGCGCTGCATATGTAACTTCCGCGGAGCTGGTGGGGGGATGGGAGGGTCCTGGATGGACGCTTGACTTGCCTACGGAGGCGATGTGGCTTGCGGAGAGACCCTGAGCTAGAAGGCATGGAAGGAAGGAAGCAGTGTGTGTGTGTGGAGATAGTGAAGATAGCCAGGATCAGGGGAGCCATGCACGCTTAGAGTCGGTGAAGTTATGAGCTGTTTTGGACAGCGAGACGAGTATCGTGAGCTGGTTGGGATAGCGATGCAACTTTGCCTTTCCGAGCAAGCGGCTGGCGCACAGCGGTCATGTGTTGGACGATCATTGGGAAGTGCAGGCGGCCAAGGCAGGAGTGAGCTTGCAAAGTCCACGTGTGAAGATGCTAGAGTCAGTAAATCCCGCTGTCGTTCATTGCTTTTGAGGCTGAATCGAGCCGAAGCCACAGACGCAAGGTCATGGGCACAGCATAACTCACGTCGCATTCGTACCGATGTGGCGCAACGTGTGAAATGCCGGTCTCGAATACCTGGCCAAGAGGCTTCGTACGAACTTTAATCGCTAACCTGAGCCGTCGACACCGGATGGATAGTGCCCGCCCGTGAAGTGAAGCTACTGAGGACGTTTCGTGAATGCTAAGCCGCATCGAGGCAAGGCGTCTCATCCAAGATGAGGATCAGGTACAACTGCATTGACTCGACCCACCAAACACGTTTGAGGGAAGAAAGGTCGAATGTTGGTTGAGGATGAGCGGAGCGGCGAAGAGAAGGCCCGTCGTATCCATCTCCGACAAGGTGTGGCAAAACGGCTGCGCCACGGAGATCACAAAAAGCTTGAGTGCTCAACAGATGGATTGTTTGGGTGACAGCGTGAGAGATGCGTTCACTCGACATGACATGGCGGCGCCCCATGCAAATGGTGCAGCGCTCAGACAACATTACGCAAAACACGTTAGCCAAAAGGGCTTAGTGCCATGGGTGGGTCATGCACGGGTGAAAATCGCGTGTCGTCGATTTGCAGGCCATTCCACACAGACAACAAAGCCTGTTAGCCTCATTGCGCACGAGCTTGGTCTAGCATGGCACATTATTAAGAGAATCATTTAGCACAGGGCGAGAAGCCAAGGGAAGCTGAGAAAAAAACTTTGAGACCTGCTTGCAGAGAAAGGGATCACCATCGGTCCTATACTCGGTCCCATTCCCCCGCCATCCGATTCGCACCGCTGCAACAGGCCTTGATGACGACGTAGGTGCTAATCGCGAGTGTGGTTCTTCAGCTGATGGCGAAGTTCCTACCTGTTACCTTCTTATATGCCTTTTTTCGCCGATTGAGACGCGGATTACTACTATAGTCTATGCTTGCGGCTCGCCAACACCCTGTGGATACCTACTAGATGAATCAGGCCAGCATGACCACTCCACGACGGAAAGCATGTGTCGAATGCCGCCAGCAAAAGGTACTTCCCCACCTCAATGGGACGCGACAATGTCCGACGATGCTATCAATCGTTTACTGATACTCTTCTTTGCAGATTCGATGTGATGTCGAGCAGCACAAGGTACCGCATGACCCATGCGGGCGCTGCAAGAAGATGGGACTGGAATGTCGCATCCTCCCTACATCAACCAGGAATTTGCGCCAGACCAAAGCAGAGATGCGACGAGAGCTGGAGGAGTTGCGATGGAACATGAGACAAGGGCAGAATCCTGGCGATGCAAACTACCCTCACTCGACGGCCTCACCAACCGTCGATATGCAGAATTACACCCCACTTGAACACGCTTCAGCCACATATTCGGATCCTTCTGGAAGGACTGATGCATCAGATTCAATGTCCCCAGCTTTCGACTCGAGGCCTCCGACACGAAAAGGTTCCGATCACCACGGCACGGTACCACGCGTGATAGACGGCTACTTACTCGATTCGAAACGGATCGACGATTGCTTCACCATGTCAGTCAGCCCAAAACATCTCTCTCGATGTATACTAACAGCATCGTAGTTATTTCACACAATACCATCCGCTGTTCCCTATCTTGGACCCATCAATAGGGCCCAATAATTACTATGATCAATCGCCCTTCCTGTTCTGGACTATCGTGGTCACGGGATCGCGACGGTACTCTGAACATGAAGTCCTTGAAAGGACAAGTCAGCCCATCACTCAACTAGCATTTTCCTCAATGGCGTTACGTACCTCGCAAGTTCCAATCATCCAAGGCCTTTTAATTCTTTGCACCTGGCGACTACCTACCAACTCAATGTACAAAGATACAACACACCTCATGTGCGGTTCAGCAGTACATCTAGCAACGCAAATTGGCCTTCACATAGCAGGCGTAGGCCAGGATTTTGCTAGGACACCACTTGAGAAGGATCAATCACTCAAGGTGCAACGTGCCAGACTTTGGCTATGTTGCGTCATCGTCTCCATAAGGTAAGGACTATAGACACAGTCTCGAAACTTGCGCTAACCATGTTTAGAACGAGTTGTGTTGAAGGCATACCACCTCTTGCTGAATCATTCTTCGATGGCGATGAGCAAGACCGGGAAGACATGGTTCCGTACCTACCTTCTGACCTGCAATTCTTGCACAAAGTCTACATCATCCTCATGCGTGCCATAGTCGCCATGGGAAAGACTAACTTACAGTCTATTCACTGCGACGTTCGTGTGCTACGGTCGTTGATCGGTATATTCGACTCGCAGCTCCTCAGCCTGGCTCCGTCTTCCCCAAGCGAACTCGGTAAGTTTGATCAAACTCGTACAAAATTCGATCTGACGAAATAGATGCTCTGCAACTCAGCTGTGCACGTATACATGTGATGGCGTTCCATTTCTTCGCTCATCCCACGAATCCCGGGCCCGACGCAGAGGGTCTTTCAAGGTTTTACTCTCTATGCATCTCAGTCATTCAATCCGCGGCAACTATGCAAACGACACAAAAGGTCCACTTACCTTCTGTCTCGCAATCGTTCATCGATCGTACCATCACCCTGGCTGGTTTCACCATTTTGAGGCTTGTTCGAAGCCCGCTCGCTCAACACCTGGATTTGCTTGCGGGCGAACGAGCATTCTCCCAAGCGTATGATTTCCTCCAGAATGTGTCTTTGCAGCCGGGAGATATCCACTTCCGGACTGCACATATTATGAAAGATTTATGGGGTAGCGACAAAGTGTTCCGTAAGAAGGACGGTCGTGTGGAATCGTTATATCTGAGGTTGAGAACAAGGTTGAGTATGAGCATCAGCTACGACATGTTCTGGTACTGGCGAGAGGAATTCGGCAATATGCAAAATCCCTACAACGGCGACGAAGCGACACTTGAAAACGCTCAGCAGAGTGCACCTCGTAAGCATTTTACTACAAACTTTGGTCAGCACATAGCTAACAAACAGGTCAAGAATACTCGTCACAGCAACAACAGCAACACCAGCAGCAGCAGCACCACCAACAACAGCAGCAACAACAACAGCAGCAATTGGATCCATCGATGAGACAGCAACTTCCGGTAACCAAATTCGACCCCAGCTTGGTCAATCCCCAGATGCAACCGGATCCGTCCGTAATGAGCAGCTTCGATGCTTGGGAGGGTCCAGATTACGGTGTACCGCCAATGCTCGATCAATTCCCTGATTACGACTGGGCAGCCGGCTTTGAGTTCTCGAACGCCGAGATGCCCAACGTACCGGTTGGACCTATAAATCCAATGATGACAGCACCAGGTCCTGGAGGTGCACCAAACATGGGGTATACCTACGGTTAGACGTTGGGTGGTTGGTGTCCGTGTGAGAGAGAATGGCTTGGACGCGATGGAAGAGTGACGACTACGGTTTCTCGCCTGGTGCGGGAAATGAAGTGTTCAGATACCGTATACCTACTCAGATACGCAATGCCATGGGAAGATCTTGCGACCAACCAAAGAAGCCAGATTCTGTCTACTATGCACCACCAAAGACAGATCTCTGAACACTAGGTCGCGGTGGCGAGGACCGGTCGACCACGTGCGGATACGGCGGGAAGTGATCGCGATGTCGGAAAATTGTTCGATCAGATCGATGCGGGCTGCACCTAGGATCAGGCGTGACGCCTAAGAGTTACTGGGATGGTGTTCAACTGAGCCGGCAGGAACCGAAAGATCTCCGAATCCGATTTGCGACCGTTTCGCAGGCGTATATAATAACAGAGGGTCTTCTCTTTCTGGTGAAGACGAGCATACGATGGACCTTACAGCAAAAGAATCTGCTCAGCATTGTCTGCGGTGTTGTCAGCAACCCAACCCTGGTGCCCACTAGCGCTGGCGTGCGCTAGATGGTCAATCCTGAAGGCGTGTGGAGGAAGGAAGAGAACACGCATTACAACACCAGGAAATCATCGTGCCGGCTGCCAGCTCACTTTAAATCCCAGTCTACCCCCTCATCACCCCCATGCGCTCGCCTACCCAGGACTTCGGCATCGGCCAGCATCCCGAACGGGGCATCACATCCTTCTTCTTCTTCTCATACGACATTGCCTTTCCGCCTACGACAAGCCGACCATGATATCGGCGAACCCGAGCCTTGCAATCGTCTGGCCAGTGAGATGGGACGAGTGAGGCGCTCCTACCGGTCAAACCGCCGGCGAACATCGGCACATGACACTACGTCAGCAAGAGGAACAGGGCATTGCGGGGTGTCACCACAACAGCTTTTCCCTGGTGTTTACGCATATCTTGGGCGTTATGACGTGAGTGGGTAATTTTCACAATTCTGATTTGTGAACGAGCTGGTAAACGTTCAACCAAACTTTTTCGCCATCGCGCAAAAGATCCTTTCTCACAAACCAGATCCTTCGGAGGACTTGGCCGAGAAGATGGGGATAGGCGGTCATAGATGTGCAGCGTAGTTTTTCTTTCCATGAGGGTGTGGTTACCATTGTTTTTCGTTTCGTACTTTTTTAGGTTTAGCTATCTAGATTCTATATAAGGCGTTAGGAGTTTGCTCCGGTTGGTAATTACACTATTACTTTTGAAAATCTCCGGTCTCTTTTCGGGTTGACAGGCTCCTAGTCGCGACGGACGAATAACTATCACTACCGGATCTGGCATACCATTCCGCCACAGTATATACGCAAGACGCCGATACTCAGCGGGCAAAAGTGAGGCCACCGAGTGTCTGTTCCTGAGCACACTGTACTTTACGAGGACGTTGTGCTTCTTAAACGGATCGGATCTGGCGCGGCTTGACAGCGAGGAAAAGCAAAACGCAACATTCATTGAGAAAAGCTTGATCGTTGCCATTCATTGATATCCTTGAGAGCGAAAAAGAGAAGGGAAACATGGGATCCAGCAAAGCACCCGAAAGAAGGATGACAGCAGTTGAGAAGCTGAGAAGCATGTTGGCGGATCCGGACAAATTCCTTTCTTGTCCTGGGGTGTACGATGGCTTCACAGCGAGGATAGCCCTTCAAGAAGGTGTGGACTGTCTATACATGGTATGTCTTACAGGTCATTGTCAGTATCCCGCGTTATCACAACTAACACGCCTACCCAGACTGGTGCAGGAACAACAATGTCCCGTCTAGGTGCTGCCGACATGGGCATAGCAACCTTCACCGACATGCTCCAAAACGCCACAATGCTTGCTTCCATCTCCCCGAGCACACCTCTAATTGCCGACGCCGATACAGGCTACGGCGGTCCCGTAATGGTCGGTCGCACAGTAACATCCTATATCCGCGCAGGCGTTGCGGGTCTGCATCTAGAAGACCAAATAGTGAGCAAGCGCTGCGGTCACCTAAACGGCAAGCAACTCGTCGACACGGAAGAATTCGAATCTAGGATCCGCGCTGCGAGGTTAGCGAGAGAGGAATCCGGTGGTGACATTGTGATTATCGCAAGGACAGATGCCTTACAGGGTTTTGGTTATGATGAAGCTTTGCATCGTCTTCGTGCTGCTGTTGCTCAAGGCGCCGATGTGGCCTTCCTGGAAGGTGTTACGACGGCTGAAGACGCGAAGAAGATATGCGCTGATTTGGCGCCCACACCTTGTCTTTTTAACAGTGTGCCTGGCGGTGTGTCTCCAGACTTTACAGTTGACGAGTGCAAGCAGCTCGGGTACAAACTTGCCATCTTCCCCTTGTTGGCATGCGAGGTTGTCTATCCGGCGGTTAGGAAAGCGATCCAACAGATGAAGGCAGGACATGTTGAAAGTGTAGAGGAGGATGGAAAGAGACATGGACCTAGGGAACTGTTCAAACTATGTGGGCTGGACGAGTTAATTGAGTTTGACGTCAAGGCTGGTGGATTAGGCTACAAGAATGGTGCGTGATGGGGATGTGCAGAGACAAGAAAAAGAAGTCAGGCTTGATGGACTTGGTGTGAGATGGGAGATGTGAGAAATATGCTTTATACCACTGATAGTTTTGCAATTTAAGGTAGTTTCGAAGAAAGTTTATCACTGTTAACCTTGAGACTGCTTTTCCAAAGACGACTATTCTCTGAAAATCCTTCTCTCCATCCTCTGCCACATGTTCTTCAAACCTTCAATATCCTCCCGGACTTTCTGCAACTCCTGCCAATGCTTTCCCTCGATCTCTCCCCTCCTAAGTTCGGCCTCTAGCCTAGCAATCTCACTGATGATGATGACAGCCGTGTTGTAGTTTGTGGCATCATCATAAATAGCCGCTACAAGCCACTCAAGGACTTTTCTAGCGGTCTCTAGCTTGTTTGTATAAGGCATGGTGTGACGCTCTGTTTGAGAGCATATGCGAGTGACGGAGATTCTCAGAGTCGGGGTTGGGGTGGCAGGCCGAGCGGGAGGGGTGGGAATGATGATAGTTGTGGGTGGTTTATTGATTGAGTTTGTTGTTCGAGAGCGTGCGTGGTAGTGTTGCGATATGGGCAGATCTGGATCGTGATCGCCAGGCTTTGGGCCGCAGAAGTAGAGGGTGCGGATTTGTGTGGAGAGGGCCGATAGGCTTGGACGACCGATGGCTCGCACGTTGGCGATAGAGCGGCGGGTTGACGGAAACATGTTGAAATTTGCTTGAAGTTGTCTTCGAGATTTTGAGCGTCTTCGCAATCGGTTGGTTTGGTCGTGGGTGCTGTCGCAAGTTCAAAGTAACGACTAAGTTGCTATGAAGGTAACTTATAAAAGAGAGAACGAAAAAAAGATAATGTGCTCTTATATTACGTGAAGCAGAAATGTACCTCTCTGCTCACATTGGGATTCACCGCACTGACCGTGGCCGTTCCACGGAAGTGATTCAAGTCAGTGATACAAGAGCAGGAGAACAGTAATCACAAACCAGTCCCTCGCCACGGTACCGATTTCCATTTGCTGCCAATCCTATGAGCACATACTTGCGAGGTTACATCCTTGGTTAGGCGATTGTTGGTAAACTGGTGAGTCGATTATCTTGCGCTCGCTACCACACAAAACTCCTCATGCCTTCGCCAGACAAATCTACCTTACGGAATAATGCCAGTCATACTTCTCGACATAGTGGTCATCACTCGAACGACGACTCATGCGGGTTAAGGGCAGAATACTTTCGGAATTTCTCAAGATGGGTGACCGTGGTTACACATCCGCCAACGCCTCAAATGAACCTCAACTTGGGTACCCTTAACTCCACTACACCGACCTATGACGCCGACGCCAAATGCAAAATTGCTCAGATGTCATTTAGCCCACTCTCGCATCGTCAGCTTCAGCTGCAGGTGGCGCTGTCTCTTTGGTAAGATAGTCGGCATCCTCAGCCTCTTCGTATTCTGCAATCAGACCTTGTACAACTTCCTTGGCTTCATCGAACTCGCCGAGACCATCTTTGAAGGGCACTTCACGTTTGTAGCTCTCAAGGAAAGCGTTACGTTTTCTGAGCGTGGAGTATTGCGCTACTATTCGCTTGAAGAGTGTGGCGATACCTGTGTGATTCGCAAGCATAAGTCCAGAAACTCGGTGTGAGGAGGTCACGTAGGGAGACTTCTTAGTCAAGGCGACTTGAATAGAGGCGGGGCCCCACGGTATAAAGGTAGCGAGACGTCGTTCGCGAATGCGCATAAGTGATTTGTGCACCTACGTAGTCAATGAGCTGAATTCAAGTAAGCAACTGGAGGAGACGTACATCTGAAGGGTCGGCCTCTCCCTGGATAATGTTCAAAATAGACATGTAGCAGCTCTTCTTGGTGGGGTTTGTAGAGACCATGCGGTTCTTGGGCTGCAAGAGTCGTCTCATAACGTCCAAGACGGTTGTTTTGCGAACAGTCTTGGCCTGCTCTACGTTCTCGCCGGAGAAGGGGGTGTAAGAAGTCATGAGGAAATGACAGCGCGGTGTGGGAATGAGCGATGCAACGATACCCACAAGGTCGTTGTGCATGTATCCAGGATAACGGAGGGTCGTGGTACTAGCGGACATGACGGTGGACACCAACTGGTTGGTCTGCTCGAACGAGGGGTTCATAACATGCAGTCGGTCTGCGGCAATCCTTGTCAAGGCTCCGTTATCGAGGACAACCTGGAAATTCAGTACGTAGGTATGGGATTGTTACTGGGGTTTACTCACCACGGAGTCTGCGTTTTGTGTCAAGCGTCTCATACTCAGCAAGCTGTTGTATGGTTGGACGACGATGTCGCCGTCCTGTGTGTTGGGAAAGACACTGTATGTCTGGATAAGCTTCTTTGGGAATCTGTCGTTCAATCGTTCGAGCATGTATGAGCCGAGACCGGATCCAGTACCACCAGCGATGGAGTGCAGCATCATGAAACCCTCGAGTGAGTCTGAGCCGTCAGCCTCACGGTCAATCATATCCAAAATGTCCTCGTGCACCTGCTCGCCCATGCTGTAGCCCATGCCCCAGTTGTTTCCGGCGCCGGTGCCATCCTTGTGTATATAGAAGTTTTCGGGGTTGTAGATGTTCTTGTAGGCGCTCGACTGGATGGAATTGAGGACCCTGGGCTCGAGATCCAGGAGAATGGCGCGTGGAATGTAGCGGGTATCGTCTGACTGGTAGAAGAAGACGTCTTTGCGGTCACCGCCCTCTGTCGCAAAGTCCTCGAGGTTGCCATCGCGATTGATACCGTGTTCTTGACAGAGCTGCTGCCAGAACTGCTGCCCGACGCTGTTGCCGCATTGGCCAGCCTGCAGTGTTATTATTTCTCTGACATGAATTAGCTACAATACGTGAGCGCATTCTGGTATATACGCAGGCGTACCTAGGCATTGTGGTGTTGATCAGCGACGTGGTGGGCTGCGAACGCGCTTTGGGCGGGGTGCACGCGTCGGGTCGCCAAATGTTTGGGCCCTGCCGTCATAGCTTTCCCCAACACCATCGACCCTTCGCTCCACCATGGGGGGTTGTAGACAATCGCCACTCTCTTGACACGACTTATACTCGGATATGCTGATATTTCATCGAATTACATAATCTACTGCTCCTCCTCTTCTCTTATCTTGACGAGTGACTTACGCTGAAACCCAAAGTAACACTGGAACAAGACCGTGTATATCAGACAGAAGAAGTTGATCCGCAGCACGTCCAGCCATGTCATCATTGTCACCCCGTCTCTCGTTCCCTCGTGCCATGACTTCCGAACCTCCACAAATAGCTTCGGGTCGTCCGTCACGACGCCATCAAGGCCGTGCCGTATGTCCCATCGCATCCGGCTCTCCTCGTTCACCGTCCATGCGTACACGGGCCGACCGTCGCTCTGAGCTTTCCGTATAAACAGCCGACCCCATGGCGTCATGAGAATGGCCTGTGCCATGTTGAAAGAGATGTTCGGTACAGTAAAGAAATACGACGCAATCAGCGTTGAGAAGCCAATGTGCGAGATTGGGAAGCCAGGCAGGTACCGTGAGCATAGCGGAAGGTACTTGGCTGCCCAGCACCCTAGCACGATACGATTCTGCCATGGCCTAGATGGTGACGGAGGGACGCTCCGAATTGTGTCACCAATCAAGCGCATCACATCGTCCGCGTTGTTGTCAAGCTGTACGCTATCAGTATGAGGCTGTACAAACAGACCAGTAATGCATACCTTGATATCGAGCAACACCCAGATATCTTCGAGTCCAGGTTGTGCAAGATACTCGAGCAGATCCAAAAGACGAGGCATCTTCTCGTGGGGTTCTTTCAATGTCCTCAGCTTACTTATGAACTCATAGTTGCAGTCTATAACCTTCTCGTCTCTGCCAAAACACCGCTTCAGGTCCTTGTCCTAAGGCAGAGTCAGTCTGCGATCAACGCACCGTCGTCGGATAGACTCACATGAGATAGTACGACTACACCATCTTTCGTCAGGTGTATATCTGTCTCCAGACCCTCTGCGCCTACTTCAACTGCTCCCTTGAACGCCCCCATAGTGTTCTCGGGGAACTTGGCCTTGTACCCTCGGTGGGCAATAGCCTGTGGTAACCGCCTGCCAGATACATTTTTACGTCCAAATGCAAACGTAGCTATACAGTTGGTCAACACACACACAGTCGCAGTCCGGGACTACAGTAGGTTTCCTAACCTGCGGGGAACTTGGCTTTCGGGCCGAGCAGTGGTTGCTCAACAATCTTGTCGAGCTGCTTGGTGAGCCCTTCAAACACCGGCGGTACTCCTACAACCATGTTTTCGAGGATTGGTGTTTGTACGTCGAACGCGCTGTCGACGCTGCCAACGTCCGTCTTGATCTCAGACATGACGAAATGCTTTCTAGCCCGGCAGTTCCGAAAGCGGACAAGAGCGGAGTTTTCGGGGATAAGAACAATAGCGTAGATGGGAAATGTACAATGAAAGGTATGAACAAACGCATGCGCAAGTTCAGCGTCAAGGCAAAGGTTACAAATATCCACATCTGCAAGCACAGCCAATCTCCCATCTCCACATTATACACCTGCAAGGCAAATTTGCGGCGCGGAATCTCAAAGACCCTTCCCTTACGGGTGCCGCCGAACGCGCACTCGTGCGCCGCAACATCTCAAAAGCGCCGTGCAGGACCCTCGCCCAACCCACACTCTCAAGGACACCGAATCTGTTCCAAAATCAGCCACCCATGTTACCGCATCGGGCATGGTAGGCTGGAAAGCGCAGACCGATGGAGAAGACCTGCGTCCCGCATTGGCTAGCAAGCCCAGCTAAGCTTCGTTCCAAGATGGTCTCCATGAGTCCCGGATGTATCAGCTCCCGGCGCCACTAAGACAGTTGGAGTTGCAGCATGCATCCCTTCTCACGCATTCAACGTGTCAGCTAGGGCAACGTATAACATAAATCTTTGTGGGTTATAAGATAGGGATTATCCCTTTACGCGCTTTCGTGCAACTTGACCGCTTCGAAAAAGGGTAGTGCCAACATGGACAGTGCTAGTGTAATGGAAGACGTGGTGAAATTCCATCAAATCCGGTGCCGTGGGTGGATCTACCGCTAGATGCGCGTGGCGCGTCGATCAGGTCCTTGCTTTGAAGCTTGCGCACGTGCTGGCTGTCAGGAGGATGGTGACTTCCCGTCTACATGCATGCGAGTTCGTCAAGGCTGGTCATACCGTTGACCGCTTTATGCTTATCGTGTCACGCTTGTTGAGATGGTAATCTCCCAACTGTAGGATGCTTGCAGGCAGCCTAGCCTGTAAGGCTAGCCATACGAAATGGCGCGTGGTGCTTTCGGGTAAGATTGAGCCGTAGATGAGTAGAATACATGTGGTGGGGTACTTGGTTCCCATTGGAGATTGCTAATGACGAGGTTAGTGGTCGTTTACCCTTGAAAAAGTGTATGAGTGAGATCAGTGACAGATAATACGAAGGTCTAGTAGGTACTGCGGTCTCGAGGACTTTCAAAGTCTTGCTATGATATCTCAAGCCATGTGTGGTCTCGACGAATCTTAATGCACTATAGAGACTGACAAGCGTCTAGTCTCGACTCAGTATTGTCACTTTCATCTCGAGGGGTGTACATCGAACCATATCTCCCTACGCCTAATCTTGGGCTACTCCCGTAGACACCAAATGCGCGAAAGCATTACCCTCAGCATACATCTCTCCGTGCACTACCCGCTCCTCCTATGAGGCCACCTCGAACTTTGGCGTGTATTTTGCTGCCGCCTTTGCAAACTCCTCTTTCTTGCTCGCCCAGTCTGCAATAGCCCTATGCTGTGGTGCCGAAGATTGCAGTTGTGACTTCAGTTGCTCAGCGTCCTCCTTCTTACCAAGCAGCGTGTTAAGGACGATGAGGTTGGCGAGTGTGTCGGCAGAAGTGCCGTCGATGGAAAGCGCTTGTTGTAGAGCGGCTTCGGCTTCCGGGAGGCGGCCGAGGTGGAGTTCTGATACGGCCTGTGCGACGAGGGAGTGTGGGGAGGTGGATTGAGAGCTCGTGGCTAGCTCTTCGAAGACGTAGAATGCAGATTGGTACTTCTCGCCGCCCTGAATGCGATATTAATGGTAAGCCTAATAGTAACGGTTGTACAGGAGAACATACTTCTCGCATGCCAACCCAGCTCTCGGCGATGTTGACAAGCAGGCTGTCTTGTGCCCATTTCCGTGCACGCTGAGCCTCTTTTGCAGCGAGATCTGTGCGGTTTTGTTGGAGGTGGATTTGTACGATGAGTGCAACGCTACCTAGACGTTAGCCACTGACTCTCTCATAACATGAGGCACGTAGAGGAATCTGCATGACGTACGCGTCCAAACTGCCTTGGTGCTTGCTCAACACATTGAGCGCGGCCTCAGTCTCGCCCGCCCTTTCTAATATCATGCCCACGCAAAGCTGCACCGTCAAGTTGTCCTGCCCATGTTGCTCTGCCAGCTTCTTCGCCTGGCTTACTACGTCCTTGGACTGCTCATAGTCGGCTAGTAGCTTCACTGCGATCAGATCTGGTGTCTTCTCGGATGCGAGTTCGTTGGACACGGCTTGTGCTTGGCCGAGCGCGATTTGACTGCGGAGCTGGAGGACGCGAACGGGAAGCGCATTTGACGAGGAGAAATTTGAAGTATCGAAGTCGAGAACCTGCTGGTAGGCGCCAGCGTGGAAGGCCGAGTGGATGTTTATGAGCTCTGGATAGACATTAGTGGGGCTCTGAGCTGGTGTGGCTGGTGGTCCAACGAACCTCCCTCGGGCGAGTAGGGGTCCATGATTGTAGTGCTTGTGGGGTGGCTTTGTATGGTGAGCGACTGGAATGTTTCGTGTCAATGGCTTCTAGATTGAAGATGCAATGGTGGTGATGAAGCCAGATTGAGTTTGGCTTCCTTGCTCGGACCCTAAGCGACGCTCATTGGCTGCTGCTCCGCATCCGCATCTGGCTGCCACGATGCTATGCCAGCCAATGTATTCGTCCGACTAGTCTTCTACACTCTACGAATAGTAAAAGTCATGAATCTCGTACCAGCAGGCACCAGACTAGTCTTCATCCTCTTTGATAGATCTTCCTCGCCAAGTACAGCTTGAACCTCCCAATCTGTTCCAGTCTCATCTCCGACCTGCTTCCACATCTTCGCCCACGACTCAGGATTGTGCCAAAAAGCAGTCATCTCCTTCATGACATGTGCAAAACTGCCAGCTTCAGGCTTGCCGCCCTGTCGTCCAACAATAAGACTTCCAGATACTGGCTTCAACAACTGAACAGCACGCTTGGCTGCCTTTACCTGTTGGTCCCAGTCGAACAGGTGAAAGAAGGACGCGGCATTGATCACGTCCATCTTCCCATCCATCTGCTTCAGCGCCGAGTCGGTGTCGAAGATGTCAGCTTCCACAAATTGCGTCTGCAGGGTTGACTTGTCCAAGAACATATCATAACCAATTCCCCAGAAGTTCTTCTTGAGATCGGATGCATACATATGCTCTGAGGGGGCGCCATCATGAACCAACTTGCGGATATCCTGGCCCATACAACACCCCAGATCGAGGAATTTCTCCCCGCTCTTGATCCGACTGAGAACTTCCTGGTAGGCGGGGTTCACCCCAATGGAGAAATTCAAGAAGCCCCAGTTTCCCAGGCAAGGATACGGGAACTATTACATTGTCAACACAGTTGTGCTCTTGTTGCTCAACGGGTACCCAAACTCACAACCGTAAATGCGTCATCTCTCACACGTTTAATATGAGTGACTACGTCCCCCGGTGGTATCTTGCTATACTTCTCAAAAATGTTTCTTGTCGCAGGACTTGGCTCCTCAAGCTCTTTGGTGTACCATGGTAGTAACTCGGGATTCTTTTCATATTCTTTGGCCTCCAGAATCTGCTGCACAGAACTGCGCTCTTCCTGAGCCGAATCCTGTACTGGGGCGGCTTCGGTCATGGTTGCGCTGCTTGTATGTTCTTAGAGTAACTTCAGTGGTGTTGGCACTTCCCGATAACTCTCGCAAACTCATCGTAGGCCATCTCTTTATGTTTCTTCACACATGCAGTCAGTATCCGGTTTCGTGATAGTGCCAGGCATACGGCCGCCCTCGTCATCAGGCAGCCATCCCCCAGGAACCCTCTACATCAAATCGGCTTTACAACTACTCCGGCTGTCCGTGACAACTACACAGAAAAGGTATGTCAGATGTCAGTCGTAAAGCGTGGACCAGTCTGGCAGTCGTGGAGATAATGCTACCCAATATAGATGCCCTGCGGCTGGACCTTCCCGGGATGACCTTGGTGGGGGATGGCGGGGCAGGTACCGCGCGCGACCAGTGACGTGCATAGACCTAGAAAATTGTGCCCAACGCAAACACAAGGAAAAACTCCGCAAACCTGAAGGTCCCCATATATATCCGGCGACAGCTCTGTCAATCTTCTGTTTACTTCCGTAAACGATCACGTCCTCTACTCTACCCTTCTTTTTCAACCCACAGATTTTTCAAGATGCCTGCTATCGAACACCCTACCATCAAGGGTAAGTCAAGTCGCGTTCTACCAGATTCACGAATCAATTGGACACCCCACCCTATCCAGGCTCAATGACTAACTATTCTGCTATAGATGGCTGGTTCCGCGAGATCTCCGGCATGTGGCCCGGTCAGGCCATGACTCTCCAGGTCAAGGAGGTTCTTCACCACGAGAAGAGCCAGTACCAGGACGTTCTCATCTTTGAGTCCACCAACTACGGCACCGTCCTTGTCCTCGACAACGTCATCCAATGCACCGAGCGCGACGAGTTCTCGTATGTCACACCTAGTTGGAAGGCACGAACAATGGTTGACGATAGAGCAGCTACCAGGAGATGATCACCCACCTTGCCATGAACTCCCACCCCAACCCTGAGAAGGTCTTGGTAATTGGCGGCGGTGACGGTGGTGTCCTCCGTGAGGTTGTCAAGCACGACTGTGTCAAGGAGGCCACCCTCTGCGACATTGACGAGGCTGTCATCCGTCTCTCCAAGCAGTACCTCCCCGGCATGTCGGTCGGCTTCGAGCACCCCAAGACCACCACCATCGTTGGTGACGGCTTCAAGTTCCTCGAGGACAAGAAGGGCGAATTCGACGTCATCATCACTGACTCCAGCGACCCAGAGGGTCCCGCTGAGGCTCTCTTCCAGAAGTCATACTTCGAGCTGCTTAACGGCGCACTCCGCGAAGGCGGTGTCATTACCACCCAAGGTTGTAAGCCCTCTCCTTGTCCACTCGTTACAAGTTCACTTTCCGAAGACCTCCACGCGCCGGGAAGGTGCTGTTCTGGTCAATGGCTAACATTCCCATGTAGCCGAGAACCAATGGCTTCACATGCCCCTCATTGTCAACCTCAAGAAGGCTTGCAAGGAGGTCTTCCCCAACGTCGAGTACGGTTACACCACTATCCCTACCTACCCCTCCGGTCAAATCGGCTTCATGGTCTGCAGCAAGGACGCCAACCGCGACCTCAAGAAGCCCCTCCGCAGCTGGTCCACCGAGGAGGAGGAGCAACTTTGCAGGTACTACAGCAAGGAGATCCACGAGGCAGCTTTCGTTCTGCCTACTTTCGCTCGCAAGGCTCTCCAATAAGTGTCTCGCTTGTCGAATTTCTTTTCGTTACGACTTCACTAGATACCACGATATGTGACGAATACCAAAAGACTGTAAAGTCATGTACATTCACCCAACAATACTTCAAAACTTCGTCTCAGTTACGTGCCACGATTTTTTCGCCAACTTCTACGCCTTTAAACTTCTGTTAAATAGCCAGGTTCACATCCTCGCGATTTTATTTTCCTCGCCCCCTGCATCATCCCGTACTCGTCATTGCCACTATGTCTACTACTCTGGATGGAATATCTCAAGTCATACATGTTGTTCACTCATGCTGGATACCCAACTAGGATAACCACGAGACAGTCGTAAGCGCCTGTTTACTTCTTGCGCTTCGGACCGCCGCCTCGAGTTACCAGTGCTCAGCAACACTCCGGCAGTTGAAGGTCTCGGGAGCTCTCGGGTGGCTTCCAAGGAGATTGACATGCGCGAGTTTCAGCACCAGCTTGAGCCTGAAGGCAAACATACGCTGACCCGCCTGTGAGTGGACAGAAACGGCGCGGGGGCGGTCATTGCAACCATACTGGTAGCGAGTATGAGCCCACTTCACTCTGTGTTCCACGCGACATTTGCCGTAAACGCTTGCCATATCTCGACTCCATGTAACAGCCATGCGTGGCGTATGAGGTCTGTGGACCATCGGTACTAACGGCAGCGATTTCATGCAGTACGCACTCGCCTAGTAAGTGTGTCGCAAAGGTCTACAATTAGCGAGGAGCAAGCTGTCTCGCCTAAACTTCTGTTGTACCAGATAGGAGTTCGAAGCAAAGAGGTATGATTATAGAGGGACTAGTACAAATTTGGGTTGTTTCGTCCATCTCTGCTAGTCCAGCCGACAAGTGGCATAACTTTGCGGCGATGCGATTCATAGTGAATCTCGAATACAGTTTGCTCCTAATCATGATACCCGCTGTGGCTTTTCTAAACGAAGTGTGGATCAAACGCGGAGAGTGTCGGTATGAGCCGATGACTGAGACTTTCCCATGAGGGAGCGCTTGTCAGCCATGAACGCTCAGGGTCAACGAAGGATTCTGACAGTCGAGCGAAGTGGCCATGCGGTGGAGCGTGCCTTAGAAGACAGGCTGAAAGGAACTTCTGGGCCGCCTAGGCCGTTGGAATCTGTGTCAAGATCGCGGAATAGAATGAAGCTTCGTTCTATGTTTGGTAGATGCTCCGGCATGGACCCACGAGTTTGTGACACGCGAGGTGTCACAAAATTTACGGCGGGCTAGCCGCTACAGATGGGCGGTACCCTTCGTTTGAGGCTGGCGCATTGGATCGTGATGTGGCAATGCTCCAGAATAGCGGTGGCAGAGATGTCTTGCAGATGCGGATTGAATATAGTAGGTCTCGCATCGTGCCTAACACCTGCCTCAAGCTGCACCACTGTCTTTCCCCCAATTGCGCCTTCGCTCTTTCGGCAACACGACGTTCAGTCGTGTACACTTTGTACATTTCTCTCTTATTTAACCAGGTCGAGCCGGGCTCTTCCTTCATTATAATCTTTACCTTCACTTCCGGTTACACGGTTCGCTGGTCGTCACATCACCTCGGTCACCGTTAGCAGCTATCACAAACACAACCTTACGACTCGCGCCCATGCAGTAGCACGATCCATCGCTTCCTTTGTGTCCCCCTTTCGTTTTTGCCTGGAGCATTTATTATTTTCGACTGAACCGTCTGGATACGTTTATCTTTCGCTGTACATATTCCTGCCGCCTCAGCCGAACAAAAACGCCGGTTAATATCCTATCCGCCAAGGTCTACAACTAAACACCCCGAAAGACTAAGCGCGATTAACGGGCGCTCGATCAATAACGCATAATCAAGCTACGATGTTGTCGGCAACACTCAAGAATGGGGAGCCGTTTAGTCCGGCCAAGGTTCACCCGCTCCTGTCCCCACAGGCGGCCAGTTCAAGTTTCTCCGACCGCGACCTTAACCCCGTCGATGCCGATGCCTCATTTAATAATCCCACCCGCCCAGAGTCTCCACAGCCTCCGCAGACCAGCGTCCACTGCCCCCAGGACGCGCCGTATAATGCATCGGTAGTAACCACAGAAATTGGCGGTACGCCCGCTGTAACACAACACCCAGCCAGTCTGACATCGGACGAATCCTCCCGCAAAGAAGACCCCACCGCTATCAGCAAGTCCTCCTCCATCGAGAACCTCTCCGTCCTCCCGCGCATCCCGTCTTTTGGTGAGAACCGCGTTCGGAAGCACCGCAAGAACGCGCAATCAATCGACTCCGCGATACCCCGCCAGACTCTTCTTAAGGCGTTACAGTCTCGGCCTCCGCCTTCGTCGGCGACACAACAGTCCATGGATTCCGTCATGGAAGGCTCAGAGAACGGAGGGAAGAATGCGCGATCAAAGAGCATCACGCATTCGCAACTCGCAAAAGCGCTTTCCGAACTTGAATTGCACTCTGCGGACCTTTCTGCAAGCAAGATGGCTGCGCTCGCATCGCCATGCTTTTTCCATAAGAAGTTTGACAAGGCTGTGAACCTGGGAAAGGTCATGGAAGAGATGTCCGAGGATGACACAATATCGCATTCAAGACTCGTGCAGACTGCGAACAGTGTCCGTGAGGTATCGAAGCAGCTGCAACGTCGACCCATCAAGATGACGGTACGCAATGTCATGATTGTTACCAAGGCTCGCGACAACAACCTTGTATACCTTACGCGCGAGTTGGCGGAATGGCTCATGACTACCTCGCGCTATGGCTCAGACATTGGAGTGAACGTCTACGTAGACCACAAGCTACGCAAGTCGAAGCGCTTCGATGCCGCCTCTTTGCTAGCCAAAGACAAACGCTACGAGAACATGCTTCGTTGGTGGACACCAGACCTGTGCTGGGAAACCCCAGAGATCTTCGATCTTGTTCTTACTCTTGGTGGAGACGGCACCGTGCTTTTCACCTCGTGGCTCTTCCAGCGCATCGTACCACCGATTCTGTCCTTCTCGCTCGGCAGCCTTGGTTTCCTTACAAACTTCGAATTCGCGCAGTACAGGCCAGCGCTCGACAAGATCATGTGCGAGACTGGTATGCGTGTGAATCTGCGCATGCGCTTCACCTGCACAGTATACCGCTACCAGAAGAACGTTGCCCAAGGATCACCTCAGCACATCGAAGCTGAACAATTCGAGGTACTCAACGAGCTTGTCATTGACCGCGGCCCATCACCCTACGTCTCGAACCTCGAGCTCTACGGCGATAACAACCTGCTTACCGTTGTGCAAGCAGACGGTGTTATCTTCTCGACGCCTACCGGTTCAACAGCATACTCGCTCTCTGCAGGTGG